AATGATAATAATAATGATAATAATATCAACAGAAAAAATAATAGTAACGATATCAATAATAACAATAATAATGCAAATAATGATAGTAATAATAATAATGATAATAATAATAATAATAATAATAATAATAATGATAATAATAATAATAATAATAATAATATAATGATAATAATAATAATAATAATAATAATAATAATAATAATAATAATAATAATAATAATAATAATAATAATAATAATGATAATAATAGTAATAATAATAATGATGATCATATTGATAGTAATAATGATTTTGATGATGATGATGATGATGATGATGATGATAACAATAATGATAGAAAAATAATAATAATAACATCATCATAATAACAACAACAACAAATACAACAGCAACAACAACAATAAGAAGAAGAAGAATAATGATACTACTACTAATAATAATGATAATAATAATAATAATGACAATAATAATAATAATAATAATAATAATAATAATAATAATTTTAATAATAATAATAATAATAATAATAATAATATCAATAACAATGATGATGATAATAATAATAATGATAATAATAATGATGATGATAATAACAATAATGACAATAGCAATAACAATAATGATAATGATAATAAAAATAATGGCAAAATGATGATGATGATGATGATGATGATGATGATGATAATGATAATAATAATAACAATAATAATAATAATAATAATAATAATAATAATAATAATAATAATAATAATAATAATAATAATAATAATAATAATAATAATGATAATAATAATGATAATAATAATAATAATAATAACAAAAGTAGTAGAACTAATAATATCAATAATATACAATAGAATATATAGTAATAATAACAACACTAAAGATTAATAACAATCTCATTATTATTGTTTTCATTATTTTTGTTATTATCATCATCATTATTATTATTATTCAGCAGTGCCCTCACCACAAGCGATACACGCTCGTGGTAAGGACATTGAAGTAACTAGTGCTTTACATATCTTCGTAGAGTTGTTCATGTCTCTGGTAAGTCAGACCAGGAAGTCAGTAGATTTAGTATATGGAGATGCCGGTACCTGTGTAGAAGGACCAGGCTACGTTTCTTGAAGGCTCTGATACCGTCAGTTTTGCTTTACGGAAGTGAAACCTGACGCTATCTAGTGCCTTGGAGTCGCGTCTTGATGCCTTTTGTAACAGGTCCTTATGCCGGATCATGGGGTACAAATGGCAGGACCATGTGTCCAACCGATGGTTACATCGTGATGCCGGTATAGAAGAATAACTATTGAACAAATTAAATACTGAATTAATAATAATATTGAACGTATGTTGTGCACTGAAAACCTCAAAACATTGCACTATGTCCGTATGAGCCATAAGAGGCTGAGGACAGCTCGTCAGCACAAAGACCGTAGTTTATTGGCTCGCTGTACGATACCATTTCCTTAAAAGTAATAGGCCTGTGGCAATTTACATGCCGAGAGTCACATGGCGTTTCTCTTTGATTAGATGAAGGTCCCATAATCTCATTTTTCACTGAAAAATGAATGAGCTATCGTACTGCCATTGTTGATGAACCAAGGCAGCTCGACCAGAACGTATCAGTTGTAGCGCTGAGGCCTCTGACAGAGGCCTGATTTTTCGCAAGCTAACTGTCGACTCCATGGACCTTGGCCTCTTTAATTCTAACTATGAAACGATCTTAATTATGGTCACTCCTAGCTTTGAATACTCTAGCTAAAAATAATATATTGTCTCCATGTTATATCTCTTTATAAAAAGAGTGTCTAAAATAATAGTGATATAACTTAGCATAATATCCCGCAAGGAAAAAGTCCAATCAGTAGCACACGAACAATATCATAGACAGTAGACATGTACCCTGTGCTTCATTGGGCTGCTTTGATCCTTGGCAAGAAGCGATCTAAATTGATTGAGATTCTTAGGGAAATGATTGACATTTTACTTAAATCATATGAAAGCCTGAGGCATTCATCTTACTGCTTCTATCCAATATCGCCACAAAGACTGGTTTCACTTGCAGAAAGCCCCTTCTTATCAACAAACAAAAAATATATGACTGATTATTCATAGAATTACTCACCCCCACGAGAAAAAAGGAAACTGTCTTCCCATTCACAACCACCAGGTGCCTGATAGATGTCCATACCAGGAACCAGAAGATGTATTCGTTTCTTCAGACACAGCAGTATAACTAGGACGTGCTATCTCTTGTGGATAGACATGGCACAGAACTAGAAAAGAGCAGTATTACATTCTTTTATTTATGGCATCACCATCTGAATCTTCATTAATCCGTTGTAAGTCTGCCCGACCTCGCCATGCAATACTTCACATTCCGCATCCTCAGGTGTCACCCTTGATACCTATGGGGGAATTATGGAATGGGTGGCTTGTTTATGTTGTGCACAAATTTCCTATGACTCCTAGTTCATCATTATGTCTTTTGTCATCCATGGACTACATCTGCGAACTACAGTGACCTCTGGATTCGAATAAATTATGTTATCACTGTTTCCTTTTACTCCAAAATTCCGCAAGGAGGATTTTTCTCCATAACAAGGAGTACCAGACAAGATTCCTTTTTGCGAATCATACTCCTTCCACTGTTCAGTAGTCCGTGGATACAGTATCCATAATGTCGATACTTGCTGAACTAATGTCATTGTCAGGAAAATCAACATACCGGAATTCTGTTTTTAATCGGAGACTGATTCTTTATAAGGCCTCAAAAGTAGTGCCCAATCTTATGAAATAAGTTATTATATTAGTAAATTCACACCTAGAAGTGGTAAAACGATTAGAACTAAGTGAATATACAGTTTCTAAGAATCTGATGATAATTAAATCAGATCTGTTAACTAATGCACCGCTTTACTGCCTATGTGGAAATGAGCCACAACTGGTGGAAGTTAAGATTCCTGACATTTTCCGTTTATCGCATGCCATACTCCCAGTTTTTGAAATAAAAAATAGGTTTAATTCTCCTAAGCAGTCTTTGGCTTCACGGGCATTAGTCCTCTTATACAACTGGATCTTCACATCAAATTGTTGATCACTCTGAGAGTCTAGAAAGTGCAGCTTCGGTTAACAATTTCATGATTTCAAAATAATACAATACATGGGAAAGAGAAGATATCCCTCAGTGATCCTCAGGGTAATTCCTGGGCTGGCAGGAGTCTTGGCCCACAGGATGGCCTCAGTGGGTTGTTTTCTTGGGTTTTCAGTGGCAATGGTGAGAGAATCGCCCTCCCCCACTGTGATTTCCTTACCCACAGAAATCTTCAGCTTCAGTCAACAAGTTGTTAGCTGATTCAGTAGTATAGGTGATAAGAAAAAAAATGTATTTCTAAACTGATCCACATTCGTCCTTGATACCGGTCGATTGAACAAATAAATTCAACCTTATTGACTTCGGCTATCTGGCTCAATACGTCTGACACTATAACAAGGGGTACATCTTGATTCTGTCGACTAAGATTATGTTTATTAGCATATTGCCATACACTCGATTCCAAGCATTCCCAGGGGAAAATTCATGGGTCTTGCGCCCTCCCATTCAGACTGAACTCTGCTCCAAGGGTGTTCACGAAAGTGATGTGCCTGATTGGTAGCAAACTCATCCAACGAGGAGCTTAGGCCTTAGTGTATCTCAACTATTGGCTATATAAGCGGAATGTTATGAGATGACTGCAAGAAGGATGTTAAGTCACACTCCAGAGGTATATACCTTAATAGAGCTTTCTTTTCAAGCTACAAATATCTCGATCCAACAATGTTGCTACAATGGCTGGGGCTCCAATGGAATATAAATGAGGGAATAGGTCAATCAATCAAAAAAAAAAAAATCTGGATGAAATTATTCTAAAATCTTATGTCGTCCAGCACCCTGTCAGGACTGGGAAAGTCTTCTGGGATCCTTAAATCATTCAAGGCTTCTGCAACTCGGAGGACGTGTAGTGTTCGCTTCAGACATTCGAGACAAAATTCAATATTTGCTCATCACATCTACTCCCATTTATGTTCTAAAAACTCAGTGCAGTGGGACTCAAACGATCGGTATTATTTTTAAAAAAAATCGATGAGAAGGAGACATAAATGTAAGACAACTAAAAGGAGGTCTAGATGCTTTTCTGGAAAATTGGCAGTTTAACCATCTAACATCAATGAGTTTAGGGTTATCAGTCGCTTTAGGACATACAAAAGAAAAGTATCCTTGAATATATCTACATCCGTTAGAGTTTCTATGTACAACCTACTATACATCTATATCCCCAAATGTGTTTATTCAATTTGCCTCCTATTTATTCCATTTACAGTTGCTTGCACCACCATATGTTTTAGGTCACGAGTAACAGCAGTCACTGATCCACTAAGATACTCATTTGTAGATTATTCTTCCAAAGTCGATCTCCGCCTCGTAGTACAGTTCCTCCATGGTCCCTACAGAAAGTTCTGGACCTCCTCTCATCAAGGTACTTTGTAGATATATCTCCTCAGGATGGACTTCGTAAACTAATAGTCCTTGTTGCTCTTGCCACAAGTTTGCGAATTTCTCAACTGGCAGCCTCCCCACGCTCCTCTTCCCTCACACAGTGTGGACCAGATAACTTAAATCTCTTTTACCCCTCGTCCTTGTTTTCCGATGAAAGGTGAACGGCAGGAACATGTACTGGGACTTGTAGTAACGTCAACATGGTTAGATTATGAATGATCTCATGTATTATGCCCAATAGCAGCTTCGATTTTTTTATGGAAGCAATCCAGGCATTATCAAATGAACCACT